CATTTCGCTCTTTTATCCAAATGGGCAACCAAAACTGGCGCACGAAAGCGCATGGTTAATGGTTGTAAAACTGAAAACTGAAACTGAAACGAAATGGTGCCGCCACTGAGTTTCCGATCACAAACTTATCGGAGCCGAAGTCAAACAATTATTGCTAAACAAGATCTCCTTGGCGGGCACAGTTTCTTGTAACAACCAACGAGAGACATAAGAAACGGACGAAAATTGACTACAGCCAAACGATAAACCGTTTCACTTATTTGGATGCTTACGCTCTGCCACGAGTGGATGAACTATTTGAAAAGGTGACTCAATATTCTTTGTTCACCAAATTCCCATTCAAGAAGAGGAAAAGCCATACATGGCATTCGAGGCTTGTGGTAAATTGTATCAGTTCTGCCGCATTCCATTCGGGGTTACGAACGGAGTGGCCCGCTTTCAACGCACGATAGATAATATCATCCATAAAGAACATCTACAACGTACATTCGCGTATGTGGACAAGGTCACAGTATGCGGTCGTGACCCGGAAGAGCATGATAGAAATCTCCGCAACTTCATGGATGCCGCTAAGAAACACAGTAAAACGTTCAATGAACATAAGAGTGTAATTGGCGCTAACAAAATTATTCTTCTCAGGTAAAGTTTCCGAAGGCTTAATCAAGCCAGACCCCGAACAATTCTCAGCCTTGAGGGAACTACCTCTCCCGAGGAACATCGCTTCGCAAAGACGGGTGGTGGGGATGCTGGTGTACTATGCCCATTGGATCCCACACTTCTCGGATAAAATTCATCCACAAATGCACAACCATACCTTTCCCATTTCGGACAGCGTAAAATCTTCTTTCGAAGAGTTGAAGAAAACTAGAAAAGGCCGCTATTTTACCGTTGATTACAACCACCCACTAATCGTTGAAATCGACGCATCCGACATCGCAATATATATATATATTTCACACTTGTCTGAGGACAGACTGTGTGCCAAACAAATCATGGTACAATAATCTTTATTAAAAGGAAAATGTTCTATGACTGACATCGCAATAGCGGCAACAGTCAATCAGGACGGACGTCCGATGGCTTTCTTCTCATGTACCTTGTCCCCTAGTAAGCGCCACCACTCAGCGATCGAAAAAGAAGCATGCGCTATTGTAGAAACTCTAAGGAAGTCCAAACCTTCTACTCGGGAACCACTTTGTTCTTATCACGGACAAGCGTTGCCTTTATGTACAATAAGTAGCACAAAGGTAAAGTAAAAACGATAAAATTCAGCGATGGAAATTAGAGCTATCATGCTTTCACTACGACATCCAGTATCGGTCTGGGGGCAAAATGAAGCTGCCGACACATTCTCAGCCATGTTACACGCGGACTTGAAACAGTTACACAATACTCTGTGTCACCCCGGTGTCACACGCTTGTTGCACTTCATTCGTTTTGAGAACTTACCCTTCTTCATAGACGATGTTCAAAAGTTGTAAATGAATGTGTAGCATGTGAACAACTTAAGCCTCGCTTTTTCAAAGGCACTTTTGCAAACTTAATAAAAGCGACCAGACCGTTCGAAAGAATCAGCATTGATTTTAAAGGCCCACTTCCTTCCATCTCCCGCAACAAATACCTTTTGACCATGATGGACGAATACCCTCGTTTTCCTTTCGCTTTTGCTTGTGCTGATGTATGATTCTCAACTGTTATTGACTGTTTCAATCAATTATTTTCCTTATTTAGAGTGCCGTCTTATGTTCATTCTGATCGTGGCACTACCTTTATGTCGGATGAACTGCAAAGTTTTCTCCATAATAAAGGAGTGGCAACCAGTCGGACAACTCCATACAACCCACGGGGTAATGGACAAATCGAGAGATTAAATGGAACGTTTTGGACAGCTGTTACTCTAGCACTGAAATCTTAACAGATGGATATAAACCAATGGGAACATATTCTACTAGACGCCTTACATTCAGTCCACTCACTGTTGTACACTGCCATCAATAAAACGCCTCACGAGAGATTTTTAACACACAATCGTAGGTTTACCAATGGTACATTTCTCCCGACATGGTTGCCAACTCTGGAACCAGTTCTTCTCAAAAGAATGAATCGAACTTCAAAATATGATCCCCTAACGGAAGAAGTGGAGCTCTTAAACTGTAACCCACAATATGCTCATTTACATCTTCCGAAAGGAAAAGAGGGAACTGTATCATTCAGGCTCCGAAAGCGTCTACATGGGAAAACACAGATCAGCATGTGCACCTTACGGAAGAACAGTCCACACCTTCGGTGGTTCAACTGGAAAATGAAGCTCCAGAATCAGAAATCCAGTCGAATGCTACGGATCACATTCAACAGCTCATAAGAGACCAGCGGCATGTCCAACCATACAACCTTCGAAGTAGGGAGGTTTGAAAAGTGCACTGATTCACAGACATTTCACTCAGTGCGGAAAAAAATGGTGATTTCGTTATACCTTTGATCTTTATACCACTGCATCACCGTTTACTGATAATGTAGATTTTCTATCTTTCTATTGTAGCTGATGTACCTACATTGTTAGAAGATTAAAGCTTCATTTCTGGCTGTCCTTTTTTTCTCTCTCGTTCGTCGCTCAATCATTAGAGCTCATCACAGTGGTCAAATACGCAAAGTCGCTTAACATCCTCCGCTCGGAGAGGCCAGGTCTCGCAGCCGTAAAGTAGAACACTACGGACCGCAGCGATGTACACCCTTCCCTTAATGGACAGTTGGATGTCACAGCGGTGTCACAGGTGTCGCAGGTTGGCGAAAGCTGCTCTAGCTTTCGCTACTCGTGATGTAATCTCTTCCCCAACCCCACCTCCAACTGTGATTAAGCCCTCGAGATACTTAAAACTCTCGACCATTTCCAGCTGATCAACACAGGGTGAGTGCGGGCACAGGCTCCTACCAGTCTTGAACCAGCGCTTTACACTTTGATGGTGCAAAACACATACTATACCTGGAAACCTCTATCGCCAAGTGGTGTAAAGCTTGTTGGACTGCCTGTGCATTGCCACCCAGCAAGGCGATGTCATCGGCGTATTCCAAGTCAAGAACTCTGTTCCCTGGGAGGAGTTCTACTTCCCCATCTGCTAAACCGAATAAAGCGTCCTGCAAAATGTCCTCTCTAACGAAGTTGAAAAGGAAAGGGGATATAGGGCAGCCTTGTCGAACTCCACTGGAGACGGCGAAGGGTGGTGAAAGCTGACCACAAGCCCTAACCCAATCTGAGGTATGACGACACAACTCTTTGAGGATCGACACACTCCATTCCGTAACAAACACTTCCATAGTGCGGTCCTGTCAACAGAATCGAAGGCCGCGTGAATGTCTAAGAACACAATTATCGGTGGTCTAGGGTAAGCAAGACGGTGCTCAACCAGCTGTCAGAGGGTGAAGATTTGATCAATGCAGCCGCGACCGGCGCAAAAATTAGCCTGCTCCTCACGCGTTTTGTACATTCTACAAAGAATGATGGACGCTAACAGCTTTGACGCTATTGGGATTAGGCTTATACCCCTATGAATAATGCAATCATTGCGGAAATATTTTTTAAAGATGGGGACGAAAATTGACTCCCCCCACAGGACGTGGAGTTCTCTAACATCTTTAAATAGAGCTGGAGGAAGGCAATTGTGATGTCCCAAGGCTTGGATCTCCTGAAGGATTTAAGCCTCACAAGGTGGGTCTGTTGATACAGACCATGGGACGTGTACCGGAATAGCTGTGTGAGAAACTGACGCTAGCGGCCAGCTAAACTATGCTTTGAAGTGCTCCATGATCGGATTCAAAGCAGTTTTGTGCTGAGCCTCGCCAACTGTAGCTTACTGCTATGTGGTCGATCTAAGTTAGCGTATCAGTTAAATTTGAACGCCACGTTACTGTCCATTATGAGTTTTGTCGGAAGTTGGTGCTTGATAGGAACAGATGATGATCTGCGCAGAACTCAAGAAGTCGATCGCCGTTATCTGTTCGCCAGCAGAACTGAGCGTAATGACCGCCGAGGCAAGCTTCCGATGCACTCAGTTTTCCAACATGAGCGATAAAATCACCCGCGAGAACAACTATATCTTAGCTTCGGCTCAATCGAATGAGTTTGGTGAGTTTATCATAAAACTCGTCCTTTTGTGCGTCAGAGCTGCAGTTGGTCGGTACATAAGCTGAATTGATGGACAGACACCTTTGGTGTTGCATTACCATTGCCACTTTACTTATGCCATTCATTAATGTGAAGCGAATTTTTTTATTGGCTCCTACAAGAATAGATCTGAGATTAGCTGGTGAATGGTCGGACACATCGGCAATGTATCATTGTCATGTTTTTAATCTCTCGGTCGTCTATATACCCGATTTCTACTGCTAATGCCGCTGATTTCGCTTTTCCCACGGCTCTGCTTTGTTCGTTCTCCAACTGACATACATGCCAACGAGTTCCGGTTCAAACCAGTTTTTCTAGTAGTCCCTGAAAGCATCATATCAACGGTTGCGTTCTGATTCTCTCTTTAAGAAATTCGAAAGTTGTAAGCATCCCTTCCTTCCTTTTTCCTCACAATTTGGCCTTGATGGCGCAGAATCAACGAGTTGTGTTCTAGGTCAACGTTCATCTCCATTATGTACAGTAGTTTTTTATAAGTATGCGGTTTCCTTAAGGTTTGCTTTCAACGCATGCTGCCTAATTGCGGATGAGCATGAGCGTACCGTGCTCGGTAATCACTGGTTACTAAACGATTATATACAAATCCTGTATTAAGGAGTATGAATCCAAGCGGAGGAAGCCGTTTGTTAGGAGCCAACAAAATGAAACAGTGATGATTTATTGCCACGTAGAATGTGACCATCATTTCCTAAATGGACTTTTTCCGTGCTTTGTTTTCCAGTTGAAATTTCGCACCAACTCCCAACTTTCCTCTGTCAGTGCCTCGGTTCAGGACCAAAATGGGTTTACGGTCGATAGTACCAAAAAGGATAAGACTACGAATATGGATCATATGAATGTAAGTGGTGGGCCGTCCCAATTTCACATTTTCAGTCATTTGATTCCCCGGTTCTTTCACGGGACCCGAATGTGGTTCAGGAGATATTGAATAGTGTGGAAGAACGGTACTACTCGATGACTTTCGATTCAGGCAAATACGAGATCGAAGTGAGTTTCACATCTCTGTGTGTTTGCCATCCCCGCCCTGTGTCATATTTTCGATGTTGCATGGTTCAACTGAAGGTTCGAACCTATCGGATTGTCTAACTGCCGTTTCAGTGAATTGTTTCCCCGAACACCACCTAAATGTCCTTACAAGCACGCTTGCATTCACGCATATAAATATCGGTCGTTCTGAGTGAATTTCAGGACTGAATGAATAAGTGTGCTTAGTCCCCCCCCCTGTTTCCTGTTTGGTGGTGCTTCGGGTCGTGTTGTGTTAAAAGTTTGTCAGCGTTCTATTCGAGGGTCACATTCGATAATGAGAAACCAGTAACCTGAGTCTCGTGACGAAACGTAAGCGAATTCTTCGTCGACCAGAGGCACACGTTCACATTGAACAATAACTGAACCGCGTAAGAGCCCAGTAAAATAAGCATGGTTTTTAGCAGAGCCCCAAGTTACCGTTTGGGTCCCCGAATCACGAAGCGGAGGCTAGCGATCCATTGGGTTTTGAACTCATCGAATTAGCGGTCACGGACAATTGAGGATGCGATACGTTTCCGCCTGGTTAGTGGTTTACACCACAAAACATCACATCTGTAGACTGCATTGCCCGCCACTTCATGAAACCATCCTCCCGTTCTCGTCCAAATCAGCCGACCAAAAAATCATCGGTTCGCTTGAAATAACTTCACCACCTTGTAGGCTACACTTATATTATGTGGAAAGGTTACAAGCTCAATTTGAAACAAAAGAACCAAACGAGGTGCTGTTAGTCTGCCTCCTACTCAGGATTATACAATGTGAATGTAAACGTAAAGCAACCACGACCCGCGTCTGAGACACACGAATCCGTACGAGTAATATCCATCTATCAACGGGGAAGTCGCTTATGAATGAAAATATACGTGTTTCTGAGTCGGTTGGGTTAAAGCTACAGCACAGTATATGTACACAAAGCAACACTGACCTTATTTTCATCTCAGTAAGTTGATTTGAGACTAACCAAACTGAAAGAATCACGTTGATGAATGAGTGCATAAAATCCGCTTGCAGAATTATTGGGACAATCAATCGCATTGCATCTAATCTCATCACTGCGAGATTTTTCAAATTGTTTGGCAGATTTGAAGTTTGTATGTCGATTGTGAAAAGTTCAGTAGCCTCGGATTCAAATCCACGTATGGACGCCTCCTACACTTTTGTACAGCGCCTCGTAGCGTATCTCGTAGAGCGTGCATTGTACAAAAGCGGAGGCGGCGTCCATGAGTGGGTTCGAATCCCACCGACGCTACTGAACTTTTCCCAACCGACATACAAATGCGAGATTAGTTAAAATTCCACACATCGGTACTCAAATGCAAACTAAATTAGGGAATGACAATGAAAATTTTATCTAATAGTGTCTAAATAAGATGCGGCAAAGGTATAAGGACACCCGGATCTTGACTGTTGACTGATAATTCTGCTGTTCGTGCATCGTTTTGTGGTATTTTGTTGGTAGTTTGCCAAGTCTGCCACGTAACCATCTCTAATTGGTTTCTCGCTCTTTATATATATATATATATTCATCAAATCTATGGTATCTTATTATTCGATAACCCAGGAACTAAGCTGTGCTTTTCGACAGGATTCCAGTTTGAACTCTGAAGTTCAACGAGGGTCTCCTTTTCATTCCTATTGTTTCACCGGGCGACTGACTAATTGATATGAGCTGCGACTGATGTCTCAGCGAATCGACTTTTAAGTTCCCGGTTGTAACCATCTCGGTTCAAGTTAACTAGATTTATTCATCATTACCAAACGACCGAGTGAAATACAAAATCCACACCCACATTTACCATGCTAAAACCTCCTGCCGTCCCTCTTTTCTTTGGGGAGTCCATATTTGACTGAAGCCAATACTGTAAGTTACACCTGTGCACGTCCACCATTCTGTTCTGTGTCATACGTTGCTATGAAACGTGGTCGCTAAAAGTCAAATAAACTGAACTGTTGGAATTCTCTTACCACAATGTAAATGAGTCTTTTTACTTCCTCTTTATCTGTTGAATGTACAAGTGTATTACGAGTTTTCGGGAAGGAGCTGTGGCCAATGAAAGGTTCCCTAGTTTATGCACACTCATCTGACCCGTGTTAGACAAAAGGTAAGATATCCAACGCTGTCATAGTTCATAAATCCCGCCATCATGTCTGTGCCATGGGTTGTCCTTCTTCTCGGATCATAATGGGCAGAACTGAACAATCTCAGTTCTGCTCCAAATCCCTGCCTGAGGGTGGGATTCCGTCTCAAGGACCCACTAAAAGCTTCCATCTTCATGGTGCCTTTGAACTGCGGGCAGTTTGAGACACTAGTCTGTAGTCCCTGCTAGGCCACAGCCTAGCCTCGTAATGATGTGCCTATTCGTCATCATCATCATTATCAGAGATATTTATCAAGTTGACTTATCCCCACGTGGGAATTAGTTACCTAAAAGTTAGTATCTGGATTTTAATCTCATTTGGAATTTTCCGAATTAGGCCATATTAACCAAGTTACTCACTCATTTTTACTTTTATGCAATTATCTCCTGCCAACGAATAACTATAGACCCAATCACAGCGCCTTGATATCAACCAGGTGCAGATCGTGACACGTTATTTCTTCCAATACCAGAACCCGGACACCTAGGAGTTCTACTTCTCCATCTGTGATGTAAGGCAATAACGTATACCAGATCGTTGATGGACGATTTTAACTGTTGTTTCAAGTGACCATCAACAGTGCTTGGCACGTGTAAAGAATCGAGTGGATTATTCCAAATTGATTACTCCAATTTTGAAATCATCATCGTTTACGTTTAATTGACGAATCGACATACGCTAATGCATTAATTCTATTGCAAACGATAGAGAACACAAATCTGCCGTGTTCGCATTATTTAACCTATATATATATATATATATATATATATATATATATATATATACAGGTCACCAGTGTTCTGCATCTGTTCCACATCTGCGTATATGGGTGACCGCGCACATCTTATCTGTCATCGATCGACACACGCGCACCTCTTCTGACTGCTCTGTCTTGATCGATTCACTTTCACGCGATCCGGTCTCACAGCTGAAACCTACATATGACACTGACTGTGTTAGCCCGTTCTACCAACGAAACTGTGGCTGAGATAGTTCCAATTAGAACGGGACTTTTGTCTGTTCATCTGCCTGCCTGCCTATCATTTCAGTTCAGTTTTAATAACCACTAACCATGCACTTTCGTGTATCGGTTTTAGTTGCTGTATTTAGTTTTCCCATTTGGATAATACAGCAGAATGAAGACTGGAGTGTTGTGGGCACATTCACGGAAAAGATAGAGAATTCATAAAGACCGTGGTTGCAAATATATATATATACATATATGCACGACGGCCACTGTTTGAGACACTCATCCATAGTACTTTGTCTCTAACCGCGGGTTGCCATGATCCGAGGGTCCTTATTCAATGAGCCTAACTGTACCTATGTGACCCAGTGTCCTGGTTAGTATTTTCATAACCCCTTGCCAGATTTCCGTTTGATCACCCTTGACCTTTTTCAACCACACCCTGCCTCGGCAAACATCACTCGCGTCCGCCAGGTAAGATATAGCTGCCCAGATAGCAAAATTAATCTATCTTGTCTATTAATTTTTCAGTCAGGGTGGGATTGGCAGAGGGCTGAGTCCATCCATTTGAGTTGTCACATTCTACACTTTGGTGTAAAACGCTATCGAACATGGTTACGCTGGCACTCAAGCTATTGAGAAAAGTTTGCAACTTACCTGGATCTTCACTTAGTAACACAATGTCGTCTGCATACTCCAAATCAGGCAGTCTGCTACTTTGGAGCAAATCGATGCCGCTATCCTCGTTTCCCTCTCCGTCATAGTAGTCCTCTTTTTCTCAAGTATGTGCTTCCTTGAATTCGCGCAATGATAGAATTAGTAAATAGACTGAGTTCAGTTGCTTATTTTCTTTTTCTTTGCATTATGTATGCACGACTGTTTTCTACTGACGGATTAGTCGATCCCGTGTATGTTAATCTCCAGGATTCACCGGAACGGTATACAATACTGTCCTTGTGACGATTGGTCGTACCTCTCCTAGTCCACTATAGGAAGCAGGCTAGCATAAGGTCATTCAACCTTTTCGATCCAGGTCGCACCATTAGTCTTTGGATACTTAAGTACAGTCTACAAAGCAGCATAGTCTGTTCATTTGATTTGTGCAATTCATTCACCCCTACCGGAATATCATATTGGATAAATAGACGACGGCAGAAGCGGTGGTCTTATATAGAGATCGCCAACGCAATCGGTTGTGCATTTGACATCGCCGGTGCGCCTAATTTGCTGCTTAACGGTTTGATTGTCTCTCAAATTCGTACTCTCCCTATCCAAAAGAATAAAGCGTCTCGTTTGCTTTATTGCCCCCAATTCCGGTCATCATATTACCTCTCGCGCAATTACCTTCTGTGTCGTCCTCGTAGACTTCGCCAACCTCCTCTGTGACGTGCATTGAGTCAGTGGTTGGCCGTATACTTTTTCAGCTTACTTTCTTTTATTGATTGGGTAATGGTACAATTTTCAGGGAAGTGGTCAATCCAATATAAATATGATGGTTTGATTGGAGTCCGACGTATTATTGGGCTAGTTGTACAGTTAGCTCTTTTATTATTTGAGAACATGCAACCTGATATACCAAGCAGAAGCATATGGGATTGCGTTGCCTTCCGTGTCACGCCAAAACCTTGTTAGACTGAGTGGTCTGGCTGAGTGTCGTAAACAATGGCATTCGTGCATCTTGTCAATTTCTCTGCAATATCAGTCCACTGAAATCCTTGATCCTGCTTTCAACCTTTCCTGTCTTCCTCTTTATGGGCAGCCAAAAGACTGCAACCAAAACCGGCGCACGATAGTGTATGGTTAATGGTTGTCCAAACTGAGATGATTAGACTAATGGTAATGGTAAAAGGTTTATGGATGTGGTTGTTCTATGATGGGTAGATATCAGAAGGCCTTTGATCGTCTTGTTATTGCACTTGTCTATCTTTCTCGTATCTGGGACATTTTCAGTAACTCCGCTCAATACGTTGTTTAGGATGTATGTGAGTGATCTGAACTAACCACATTGTACGTTTATTTATCGATCTATGCAGGCGTCAGTTGGTAAAGTTGAAACAGGTTCACCGTTGTCCTGCTCAATATCGCACTTCTCGTATTGTTGGATCTGCTATGGCTTATCACCCCTAACTCCAGCTCTTAGGGTTGGCGATTTCCATAACTGCATAGTAGCTCCCTGTGTTATAATTCCAAAAGGTAGTCGAAAACAGATGTTTATTGAGGATTACAGATGAGACATCACTAATTTGGCATACGTAACACGGAAATCTCATCAAAAACATACCATCGCAGTTCCTGGCCGCACAGTGAGTAATGAATGTAGCACTCGATGGTTATTCTTTGAGACACAGCAATTTGCCCTCGATGATCTTGTTGATTTTTGATCGTTGAAATAAATCACCAACTATTTCACCTACTACGCATAAATGTGAGTAGTATCTCACAACTCCTGTAACTGTTACATCTAAGCTCACTCAACACTGGTGTTTATCGTAAATTCATCGCATGTGCATTCCTTCATTCACACTGGGTGGGATAACTCTGTCTACCCTATATCTACACCCACCTTGATGAAACCTCGAGTTTCGGATGTACACGATTATTGATGTATGAAGAAATAGAGAGAGAATGGTAGTTTACCATTGGTGTTTCTCATTGTTGTCGTAGTCAGGGGCAGCACAAAAGTTTGTAGCTGAAACCCCTTGTGAGCCATAAAAATGGTTCACTCCCTGTTTACAGGGCTGGTCAGCGAGCAAGCGCTACCATTTGCACCTGTTACCCGTATGATTTAGGGTTCGTCT